GAGAGAGAGAGAGAGAGAGAGAGAGAGAGAGAGAGAGAGAGAGAGAGAGAGAGAGAGAGAGAGAGAGAGAGAGAGAGAGAGATGAGGTGGATTCTACTGGAAGTAACGATGTGCAGCAGTGCTGATTCTGCAATGGATGTTTTGTCTGTTATGCCAGGGCGACCACTCATTCTGATCTTCATCTGCGAGCACTGCAGATGGGGGTGTCAGTGCAGGCCATTCATAATGCGTCAGTGCTGAATGCTGTTGGGGTATGTGGATTGCAGCTGTATCGTTTCGGCGAGACAATCTCAATCCCGTTCTTCACGGAGACTTGGAGACCAGATAGCTTCTATGAGAAGATCAAGCTTAACCGTTCAATGGGGCTGCATACCTTGTGTCTCTTAGGTGAGTGTGTCTAACTAGAGTCATTGTTGACTGTTGATTTGAACGGGGAATAAACTCTCGTCTCAATAAATGCTACCGTCTTCACCCGAATAGAACGCCCAGTCGTTATTGCCGCATCTGGACCGAAAGTTGTGCCAAATACAGCTATAATGACCGGGCGTTCTATTTGGGTGAGGACCGTGGTGTCCGTTCTGAGGACTCGTCACACCACCAAATGGGAGAACATTGGAACGAAATTGGGTAAAGGTCTTTCTCCCCACCTGTTGAGAATTGTCCGGGGACCATCCCTCCTGGTGGGATTGCGCAACCTTTTATCATGGCGACGCCGGACCCGGACCCGGACCCGGACCCGGACCCGGACCCGGACATCGCATGCCCGGGGACCAGATGTATGGCCGGTCGGGCCCGGACGTCCGTACTTCTGGACACATCTGGACCTCCGGACATGTGTGGTTCCGGATGGTCCTGACCAGTAAGCAGGTCCGGAAATGTCCGGACCGTAAAAAAAATAAAATAAAATAACATCTGAAAAAAATAAAAAAGTATGTTATTGAAACGGCTTTCACCTATTCGCAGAGGCAGATGCAGATCCCGGGGTTTGATCCCCAGACCTTACCTTACCCATGTACAGTATCGAGTTGACCCTGAGTGTTTGAACCCGTGACCTGAGTTTCGTGAGTTGTTGTTTGTCTGTCGTAGGTTCGTAGGTAGCAGGGGTTCGATCTGTAGACCTGTTGAATAGAGGTCTTAGAGAGTTCCAAAAGTCGTAGCTGTAGATATCCTGAAGGGTCAAGGTCGTAGCTGCTACAGTCCTGAAAGATCAGGGTCGTAGCTGCTACAGTCCCGAAAGGCCAAGTCCACAGACTTCCGGAAGGTCCGGAAGTGGCCTTTCGCAGCTTGCTCACGTTTTAGACTGAGGCAAGTGGGCAAGTGGTGGACCAACTGCAGTACGTTCGCAGTACGATAGCGGTAGGTTAGCAGTGCGTCCCCATGCAGTCAGCGGTGTGGTGCAGTCAGTCCCAGTCCGGTCCAGCAAGTACCATGAGGGACTGTGTGCACCATGGGCCGATTGAAAGGGGCAGGCCAACGAGTTACAGAAGTATAAATCAAGAGGCAGCGCACAGTCATTCATTCATTCCTGCGGAAGCCATGCGGAAGCGCTGCCACAGTGACTTGTGCGAGGTGGTCTGCAGAGGAGCCTGAAGTTGAAGTGGGCTAGAAGGAGTTAGCGCAGCCATAGCTGCTTATAGAGTAGAGTTAGTGGCGGCCATAGCGGCCATAGTTTAGTGTTAGGTGTGTATGTGTGTGTGTACAGTGTGTGTGCGTGGGGKATCCAGGGKGRTCCGGAGTTGAAGTGTGAAGCGAACAGTGGTGTGGGACACAGTGACGAGAGTTGCAATGTGTGGGTGCTGATGCACCATAGCCTGTTGAAGCGAGTATGCATCTGAACTGTGTTCTTGGTTTCCATATCTTCGAGCTTTGAGTCGGGCGCTGTGCGCCAGTGTGATTCACCATCTGTTTGTATGCATGTGAAGTGATGAAGTGAGCGAGTCTGATTGCATTATGCAGAATAACAATATCAACCAGGTTCGCCGCAGAGTCATGTCCGAATTCCTAACCAAACTTGAGTTAAAAGTCGAAAACGGGTATGGATAGTAAATTATTATACAGATAGACCATGTCCGGAAACGTCCCCCCCCCCCCCCCCCCCAAAAAAAAAAACGGGCCTGAAAACCGCCCAAAACAATTTTGGGGGCTCGGCTCCTCAGTGGGGAAGGGTTCTGGACCCCCCCCACCCCTTGAAATTCGGCAGATCCGGCCCTTCTGGACCGGACGTCTGGAGTCCGGACTGAATCCAGATCGTCTGGACAGCGGACCGGACGTCCGCTTCGTAGTCGTGCTTTTTATGCATGGTCATCCATTGTTGTCAGTGTCGCTGTCGTTGTGCATGGTGGTGTTCATGGCAGGACTTGTGTGGCATTGTTTGTTGTTGTTGTTGTTGTTGATGTTGTTGGTCTTGTTTCCATTCTCGTTGTCGTTGTTCTTGCTGTCATTGTTGTTGTTGTTGTTGTTCTCGTTATTGCCGTTGTTGTGGTCGATGTCGTGCTTGTTGTCCCTGTTGTCGTCCTCCGTGCTATTGTCATTGTTGTTGTTGTTGTTGTTGTTGTTGTTGTTGTTGTTGTTGTTGTTGTTGTTGTTGTTGTTGTTGTTGTTGATTTTGCCCTTCTTGTCATTTTCTCCGTGCTATTGTCATAGTTGTTTTTGTTGTCACTGTTTTGTTGTTGTCATCACTTTTGTACACTTGCTCTTGAAGAAGGTCAGGTGCGGATCCGTAGTCTATGGACTTCTCCCGAACATAGTCCATGGTTGAGTAATCATGCATGAGTTCTCATATTATAGCTGTATTTAGGGGTTGGCCAGATACAGCTATCGTGGTCATCATGCCTTAAGTGCGGGGGAAGACGTACTCTACAAAATCAGTGCAACTGTATCTGGCCAACCCCTAAATACAGCTATAACATGCGTCTATAGCAGTATAGTCCACTTTAGTCCACGATATAGTCCCCGATATAGTCCACTATAGACTACGTCTTCCCCTTCAAGACTATATCTTCAAGAGTGAACTATAGTGGACTATACTGCTATAGTCCACTATAGTCCACTCTTGAAAATATAGTCAGCATCTTGCTCCGAGTGATGCCCCCCGCAGTTAGGAAGTTAAATGGAAAGTTGACGCCTACAACTGTTGGATGCAAAAGGGGGTGGGGTTGGGGGGGGGTGGTTTGGCGTAGGGGCTCACCTGATGGTCTTTCGTTCTCATTATAAGAAATATGTTCCCAGCATATAGCTTAAAATGGGATTGCATTGGATGCTGTCTGGCTTCTGCATGGTTTCTTTAAGCCGCATTTACACCAGGATGGTCTTGCATGTATCTGGCTCCAGTTAAGGCTTTTATTCTCATTTTGTCCCGTCTCCTATGTGCCTATTTGGCTGACCACTTGCAGATCGTCTTTGCAGATATCCGGGTTAAGGAGCCGTCCATGGAGGCCTTGTGCAGGTATATATATGTATATGTAAAACACTGGGACCTCAAACTAGACGTACCCTCACTCCCCTATCTCTTCTCTCTCATCCACTGTAAATCTATGCTGGCCAATATATTTGTGCATGTCGACTCTTTTGTTTATTTATAAAGCTAGCTTGTCCTCATATGGGGGACAGCTGTATTGGCTAGACACTACTCTCTTCTCTCAATATTTTTGTTGCCTCACACTAGCTACCTAGCCACCTACTGAACCGGCGCTTGCTCAATTCATATCTATGCTCGGAAGATACGGCGCAGCTAGGGTTATGGGTCTACCTATCCTAACCCTAACGCTGCTAACGGGCTACTACACCATCTGACCCTATCCCGTTAGGGTTAGACCTAACCTCTACCGTCTTCACCCGAATATAATGCCCGGTCATTATAGCCGTATTTGGTGCACTTTTCAGTCCAGATACAGCTATAATAACCGGGCGTTCTATTCGGGTGAAGGCGGTAGCGATGGTAGGAAGGGACTGCAACTATCCCTCCCTACCAGCCAGTGGGGCAAGCTGACTATCTCAGCTGGTGAACCTGCAGCGCGCTTCAGGAGGCCGTGGGGATACCGTGGGGAATCGAACCCGTGACCTCCTGAATGCGGCTTTCGTGCTCTACCAACTGAGCTAGGCTGCTGGCTGTAATCGATTATTTTTATACCTTGTCTCCTTTTGCTACTTCTCTATCATAGTCCTCCAAACATCCGCAGAGTCAGGTTGCGCACGAGCCGATGAGGTGGATTGTGTTTCCGAACCGACTAATGCCATTCTTCACACCTAATATCTGTGTGTGTGTGTGTGTGTGTGTGTGTGTGTGTGTGTGTGTGTGTGTGTTGTCATGTTCACTATGCACAACAGCCCAAAAAAAGCATGGCTGTGCCAGACTGTTTTTTTGGACTTTCACCGGCTCATCAGTAGGTTGAACCCTGTGTGTGTGTGTGTGTGTGTGTGTGTGTGTGTGTGTGAGAGATAGATAGATAGATAGATAGATAGATAGATAGATAGATAGATAGATAGATAGATAGATAGCATACTTGCGGCGCATCGCGATGCACTGTACTGTGCACGTGCGCCGCACCCCGCTTCCCGCACGACGCGCGCGCACTGCATGCGGCGCACCTCCAAAAATGGGGGTCAAAAAAAAAAAAAAAAAAGTTCTGAGGGGCGGTAGTAGACCCGGCCCCCTGCTCACGTAAAATAAGAAACGGCCATTCAATTTTTTTTTGGAGGCCGCGCGTTGGCCTGAAAGCTTTTAGTAACCTGTAGTACCGGTAACACTGTGTGTATGGTAGGGTTATTGCAGTCTGTATGGTAGGGTTCTTGCAGGCCAGATTCAGTCATGATGAGGGTCGCCATCTCTCAAAACGTTCTCTTCTTATTACTTCCGAAGTAGAAAACGAAGGAACTGACAGCCGTTTTTCCTGGATTTTTTTTTTTTTAATAAAAAAAAAACATAAAAAAAAAACGTAAGCGAAGAAAATCAGAATTTCTTTGCATGAGTGTCGCTCGGCGCGTCCAACCTGTCAGAACCTCAATGGTAATGCAGTCTGTATGGTAGGGTTCTTGCAGCCCAGATTCAGTCATGATGAGGGTCGCGATCTCTCAAAACGATCTCTTCCTATTACTTCTGAAGTAGAAAACGACGGAACTGACAGCCATTTTTCCTGGAATTTTTTTTTTTTAAGGAAGAACATCAGAATTTCTTTGCACGAGTGAAGCCCGGCGCGTCCAACCTGTCAGAACCTCAACGGAACCTCAACGGTAATGTTCACCAACGGGCGCGCTGCACAACTCTCGACATGCACAACAAGACAAAAATATTGGCGGTGTATCTTTCCATATTCTAACGCAAGATTCACTCTCGTTTTGCACATTTCCAGAGTAGTGCAGCGAGGCCCATATATGGCAATGTATTCCATGTTCAAGCAGAGGATTCAGTCTCATTTGTTCAGAGATTCTC